TATGATCTGTATATTAATAAAACCTAAAAGATGAAGAATTTACCTAATAAAGTTTTTAATTTGGTCTGCTTAAAGTACTTTAACAACTTTAATATTAATAAGTAACAGGTCTCTCTTATGCTATATTTAAAAACACAGTGAGATAAAAAAAACCCACCATAATACAGATACTGGGTGGTTTCAGAATCTGGCCTCTTCTGACTGCCATGGCTATATACACTGGGTTTGGGCAGTTCTACCAACCTGAGACAACCGCAAAGATTAAATCCCATTCCAACACCATTCTTTCCTCATGTTATTTTAGTATCACTAGAGGCCATGTGGAGAACAGCTACTCCACAAAAGACAGTACTGGGCTAAAATGACACTTTATTAACATAAGTTCAATGATATAAGCTATCTTTCCCTCTTCCTTTCAGCCCCATCTTCCCTCCTTAATTAGACATTCATCATTTACAGTGTATCTGAGTAATCTGAGTATCTTGATTTTGAAGCAAAAGAATGTGTGGGGAAGAGATACGTAAATAAAGTTACCGAAATAACACTGCTTCATTGGGTTAGTGTAAAATACATGCAATTCACTAATTCTCTGGTCTTCTTCTTTCATTTAATATTACATTCCTGATTTTAAAGAATTTTTTGCTTTGTTAAAGTTTTAATATTGAATAAACTTGTGTCTAAAAAAATTAATTATTAAAAGGCAGTTATGTTTATCAATTAAAGAGTGGGAGAAAAAACAAATGAGTAAATTAACTAACTAGCAGCAAAAAGCTGTTTGAATCATAATATGGGTTGAAATGTTTCCATCCACCAAGTATCTTTGGACACATTCTTTTAGTAGAATCTTTTAAACATAATTCTCAAGTAGATTAATAACAAGTGTTATATATTCTATATATTACTTTGTAGGATTATAGAGAAGACTTAGAAAAATCAAGTGACAACATTAAATCACTTTCAGATTATTTACAGAGGTTAATTTCTACTCAAGGTCATATCTACTTACTTAGTACTACTGAAATAAAAGTGCAATTCTGGAAATACCACGTAATGTATTAGCCAGGAGGGTGAAAAATGACAATGAAAGGTAATCCTACAGAGGAAAACCGGAGGACTAGTTTGTAATATAATATAAAAATTTTGCAAAAATATTTTTATATTTATTATTATGACCTTACAGTGTAGATCCAAATAATCTTTAAAAAGTTTATTGTAACTTTTAAAAATTCTCATAAAATATGTAGACCTACCAAAAAGTATTTGTGGGACAAATACATAACTAGATTTAAAAATACCCAAGAACATTAAGTGAAGTGCACATGAAGCCAACAGAAGGTTCCGATAATATTATTTATTCCCTAACCCAGTTAAATTTAATTGTAAGCCCTTAGGGTGTTCTAAACTAGTTCATTCTGCAAATATTTATTAATCATCTACCAAGTACCATACAGTGTCCTAGGCACCAGAACTAGAGAATCTAAAACATTACCTTTTCCTTCAAAGAGACTGACATAGGATTAAATAAATACTATATAAAAGAAGTGATCTGTTCTTCCTTGGAGAAAAATCACAAAAGGTTTCAGACAAGAGATGATATTTCATCTTATACCTAGAAGTCCAATTTCCCAGACGGAGAAGCAGAGAAAAGATGTTACAGATGAAGAACATGGTCAAAACCAAGAGACAGGGAGAGACTACTCGGCATGTATGGAAACTTGTAAATTCTTTTTTTTTTAAATTCTGGATTTGAAGGATTTTATTTATTTATTTTTATTGGGAGGGAAAGGAGGGAAGAAAGAGAGGAGAGAAACATTGATGTGTGAGAGATCCATCAACTGGTTGCCTCTTGCACACCCCCAACTGGGGACCTGACCCACAACCCAAGCATGTCCCCTGACCAGGTACAGAACCAGTGACCTTTCAGTTGGCAGGCCAGCACTCAATCCACTGAGCCACACCAGCCAGGGCATTCTAAATTTTTGAAGGTTAAGGTTGAGGGGACAGGGGAAGTACAAATGTGACTTGAGAGAGTCAGAAGTCAGGTAAAATAGGGGTTTGTACCGCAACCAAGTTTTGTAAATGTCACATTCCAACTGAAAATGAGTATGAACATATTCCTTATCTACAATCCAAATGCAACTCCATCCATGCCAAAAAAAAGTCGAGAAAATAATCTGTCCTTTCAGCCTCTTGATGATGGCCTACCTGGTTTTGCAGCCACATTTTTCAAAAATAATTATTAGAGTGTAGATGATAATAAAATTCAGCAGAAGTATGTGCACTGCACCAATTCTGTTTACCAAGCTTCCTTAGAGTTTAGGTAAAAATAAATTGACTATTTGAAGAAATAATTGACTTTGCATTAAAATCATATGATTAAAATAACCCGGACTATAATGACAATGGACAGACTTCTGATAAGTAATTTTATTTGGCTATAGACACAGAAATTTGTGCAGTTTTGAAAAGTTCTATTTTATGTGATTATTTTAATGTTCTTGAAATAACCAGAGTGTTTTATGAAAAAATTTTAAATGGTATATTTCCCATGGAAATGCTAATATAAGTCCTTGGAGAACACTCTGTCTCAGAATGCTAAAAAGCTGTTTTTCTAATTAAAACATTTAATATAGCCTTAATTTATTTGCTAAAGAGCCAGCAAAATTTTGTTTAACTTCAAATACTAACCCCAAACTAACATTTCCAAATAATCTTGTCACAGTAAAGAACAGCATTTTACAAAGATAAACAAAATAACATTGTTTTGCTTTTCCTCTAAAGAGCTTTATTTTTCAGAGGATACAGTTTTTCTCAGTGTAAGTAAAAGTGATTGTTTTCAGAATAACAGCTGGCATGTGATCAATGTTCTTACTGGCCTTCTGGACATTCCGCATACCTAAATACTGTTTCCAAATTCACATTTTGCTGTTTTTCTTAAGGGCAAGATAAATTAAAAAGCTCAGATGCACTTCTCCCAACAGCAGACAAAACATGTTACCAACAATGCAATCTCCTACCCTCCAAAAATTGCTCCTCTGCAATCTTATTTGCCCATCTCTGTTACCTCTAGATCACAGAACACTGGTAAGTTTTTAGTCTGCCATTTCCATTATTTTAGCAGATAAAGAGCTTCACAGACAAGAAAAAACTAAAGGAGTTCATCATCACCAAAGCATTACTATATGAAATGTTAAAAGGACTTACTTAAGAAAAAGATCCAAACTAGGAACAATAAAATGTCAATAAACACATACCTATCAACAACTGGATCTAAAAAACAAACTAACCAAACAAGAACAGAGACAGAATCATGGATACAGAGAGCTTAATCCGCCCTGGGGATTAAGAAGTACAAATTGGTAGTTACAGGAGTAGCCATGGGGATGTACTGTCCACTAAAGAAAATGGAGTAGCCAAAGAACCTACACCAATGACCCATGGACATGAACAATGGTGTGGGGACTGCCTGAGGGAGTGGGGGGTGCTGAGTGGAGGAGGGCAAAAGGGGAAAATCGGGACAATTGTAATAGCATAATCAATAAAATATAACTAAAATTAAATGTAAAAATAAATTAAATTAAAAAATAAAGTTATTCTGGTTTCTATTTACAAAACACTGAACTAGGGCAAAAATGATATAGCATAGTCCTGGCCGGTGACTCAGTTGTTGGAGTGTCCACCCAAAAACCAAAAGGTTGCAGGTTCAATCCCTGGTCAGGGCATGTACAGGATGCAACTGATTGGTGTTTTTCTCACATTAATGTTTCTCTCTCTCTTTCTCCCCCTTCCCCTTTCTCTAGAATTAATAAAGATATCTTTGGGTATGGATTTAAAAAATCATATAATATAATAGTGTAATTAACCTTGGAATCACCATTTAGTTTATTTTTAATTTTTTAGAGGCAAGAAATTAATGAAGTGTCAAATAACACTTCCTTTTTGTTAGAACAATCTCTATTTATGAAAGCTTACTTTTGGATCAAATCTTAAAATGGTTTAAATTCAAACTACTATGAACATAAGATTTCTGAAGAGCATGAAATCTACTACATTAGACTCCAAACTCTAATTTATTTCCTATTTAAAGGCAATTGAAAGTTTAGGTTTGTAACTAATACACAACAGTAATGATATCTATTATTTACAAAGTGCTCTAACATTATCAACTCCCTCTACAGTTATTTTTATCCCTTTAATAAGTTTTTTAAAACTTATTAAAGAGATAAATAAGTTTATTTATTCACACTTATTTATTTATTTGTGTGTTTGTTTATAAATAACACTTCCTTTTGGAGATGTTATTTCTTTCAGGAAATAAAAGGAGCAGAGACAAAACTCAGGTATAGTCCAAAACAGACTCATAAAAACAGTATTAAAAATATCAAAAAACTAACATGACTTTATAGTAGCACTGATGATAGTGAGGGAAGTCCTATGGCGAACTTTGTTTTACTATCTAAAACACCAGCTTAACCACACTAGGGAGACAAATTTTACAAAGGTAACAGGATCAGCTTATTACAATAGAGAAACCCCAATGTCAACATAGATACAGATACAGTAGAAGGGTGAAGACATAAAACTAAAGGTTAGCATTTACATTCCTACATTAAATCAAACAAGATTCCACTATTCAACCACAGTTCAAAGATGTCCAACAACCACCTGGAAATTCTTAGAGCCAATAGTAATTATTCATATACTAGGCAATTTGTTTGCTGTCAGTCATACTAAAACTGTGAATCCTGAAACAGATGGGGTCTTCTTTGTCTTTGCACTGGACGCTAAAGGCTTAGATACAATTTTACAGCAAATGAATAAGACTTAGCTAAACCTACTCCTACATTTTTGCCTTCACTATCTCATTTTCCTATGTCCTCACTCCTTTGATTTTTTTAATCAGAATGAATTGTGTAAACTTTTAAAATCCGTTCTGAAACAAGAAAGTATTTGATACTAACTAACCAAACAGTAACAAAAAAATTAAAAAGCAACATTACCTTTACATCAAAATTACAATCAAGTCTTCTAATTAGCACGATGAAAGTTCCAGATGAATTGTCTTTTAGTGGTGGAGGCACTATGGGTTCACAGGCATTCTCTGGTTTTGAGCTAATCAAAAAACCCTGAAAAAGAATTGGTAGTAAGATTTTTCTGTTTCAAACTCCAAAAAATCCATTCAACTTGCTTCTATCAACAACTTTTGAATCTGTTTTATGCGTTTTGCAGTTAGATGATTTATCTGGCAATACCACAGTTCTCACTCTCCAGCTGCTCACTTCCAGAACTTCTAAGTAGTACTTGGTTTCATAAGCATTTAGTTTTTTTAAGTAAGTTCTCTTTTTGTTATTAAAAAAGTCACACATTAGTCTATTACCCCAAGACAGCCACTATTATTAGCATGTTGGTATATTTCCCAGAATGACTGACATTTCTAAACCAAGCAAATATTTATTTAAAATTAATTTTTGTAGTTGCAAGTATTTATTTTTATTTAAAATTAACTTTTATGTTTCTCCTATATTATCAAACAATGAAAATACACAGAATTTCTAGAAATGTGTTCTATAGAAACACTACCCTCAGTTAATAAAGGTATATGTGGAAAGATGGTCCATACTACATTGTTTTAATAGCAAAAACTTGAAACCATGCACATCAATAAGGAAGAAATTAATATAACTTATTCATATAAAAGAAACTATAATATATTCATACGAGAAAAATAATGAAGCCATTAAAAAATACAGTTAATCTATATACAGTAAATGGAAAAGATGGCCATAATAAGGTAATTATTAATTTAAAAAGAAACTAGCAAATTGCTTTTCCAAAACTACAGTGATAGTTTGACATCAGAAAATGTATTGATATAAAATGTTATTATAACAAATGGTATATGTTAACACAAAATTTTACATTAATAAAGTGTAATTTATTAATATTAAATGTTATATTAATAGATTAAAACAGAACCAAATGACTATCTCAAAAGATGTAAAACACTAAATAAATGCATCAAGATGGTCAAATTCATTAAATCCATTTACAGAAAGAAAGGAAGCAGTTACAACCTATGATGCAGTGCCTTAACAACAGTCTGCACCATTTACTGGTCTCACCAAATTCCACAGGATTCAGCAATTTCTCCTGCCTGAAGTTTTATTGCTTAGCTTGTGATAGGGAATGCTTTTACACATTTCAGGAGTAAAGTTTAACATACCTGAATTTACTCATAGAATAGTTCCCCCTCTTGATTTCATAAAGCACTTGTTTTCACTAGGACTGTGGTTATCATTCCCACAATGGTATTTACTTCGCTCATGTTAAATTTACACCCTGCTGCTTTTTCTGCACCTTCATGTACACACACACTTTTTGCTTTAATGCTAAATCACATAGCACATTTCTTTCAAGACACTTATAACAGCAATTAAACTGAACCTGGGTAGCACTATAAGGCATATAACTCAAGTGAAGACAGTAAGAGCAGCTAAGGCCAAATTTCCCATGTCCTGGATGACAGCACCATTGTGACTGCAACCTGGTGGACATCAGCTGAAAAACACATCCCAACTTCAGAGATGTAAAACATGGGATAATGAAATGTATCTTTCAGTAAATTTATGTTATGGACAGACCATACAAGTGGAACTTTTAAAAGGTTTTTGTTTTTAACCACTTATCTATTGTTGAATGTGTTATGACAAGTTTGTATTATTTTTTTCTTAAGATCCATAAAAATACACATAGGCTAGAAGTACAAAAACACTATTAGCATTAATGAAAAACTGAATTCTTTAAAAAGGTTTTAAATTATTAAACATTTTCTTATCAATTATGCAAAAAATAACTTGCTAAAATAGATTACTAATTCCTATTCTTCCATCAGGTGTGAGTCACTTAAAACTACATGTAAATTTACTTTCTTTCATCTACAAAGTCTATGAAGAGGGGTAACAGGCTTTGCAAATTAATTTGGCGGAAGTCCCTTCAATAGGAGTGGCCAAGAAGGTGCTGCCTTAAGTGAGGTCCACAGGCCTAGCATCACCCTCTAGGTACAGGATGTCAAACTCATTTTCACCAGGGGCCACGGCAGCTTCACGGTTGCCTTCAAAGGGCCAAATGTAATTTGGGGACTGTATAAATATAACTACTCCTTAACTAGGGGAACGGGGAAAGGAGCTCGGTGCTGCCACTGGGTAGAAACAAGGTGCCTGACTGAATAAAACAAGGTCCAGAGCCGGATTCCACCCATGGGCCTTGTGTTTGCTACCTGTGCTCTAGGGCCAAACCCTTCTTATTAAAATGATGCTTATTCCACGGTCAAGATCTTATTATAACAGGAGAACTTAATGCCAATACTATTCAGGAAGCTCAAGAAAACTACCAGTGCCTGGGGGGCTCAAACTGGATGACAACCTTTCTTCTCTTTGTTCTTGTAATTCTCTGATTAAACAAGGTCCTGCACAAAAATAGTGACGTACACTAATACCTCAATTATCGCCAAATGTATAACGTAGTAAGTTTACAATATATTAATATGCTGATTTTTTAAAAAAGCTTTAATGACTCTACATAAAGCAAAGTGAACAAAACAGAATTCTGCAGTTTGACAGGTTTTCACAAACTGACTGCCCCTGTATCTGGACAGAAAATATTAACAGTGCTGCAGGGGCTCCCTTCGCCCCCCGTGCCACTCATTACTCCCAACAGTACACAGCGCCACTCTGTGTGAACTTTGAAGAGCTTAGATTAGCACTGGCCTGCTCTGACACAGCATAAACAGAACCCGACAGTGTAGTAAACACTCTTGCAGATTTTTTTCTCTCAGTACTGTATTTGTCAGATTTGACTCTACTGTTAAGAAACCATACTGTTGGGATATACACAATAGATTTTTGTTTTCATTTCCATTTAGTATTACATTGTATGAATGTACCAAAATTTATTCTACAGTTTTTTAATATATTTTATTGATTATGCTATTATAGTTGTCCCATATTTTATTTATTATTAAAATTTACTCTATAGCTGATGAGCATTTGGGTAATTTCTAGGTAGGGGCTATCACAAATAGTGCTGTTATAAACATCTAGTACAAGTCTTTTCATGACCACATGTACACACCTGTGAAGTATGCACAGTGAAGCAGGATCACAGGGCATTAAGCTTTATTAAACACCATGAAGCAGTTTTCCAAAGTGATTTGGGTTACCACTTTTTAACTGAAATAATCTAAACATAAAATTCATACAAATATAATTTTGCCTTAGTGCTTCAGAAAGTACTAAGAATTGCAACATTTCGGGGTAAACATTATGGAAAAATTACTTTTGTTAATAAATTACACTGATTAATAAAGTCATAAAAAGCTAGAATATTCAATAAAGTGGTTTTGTTCAAAATATTGTTTCAGGCTGAAAAAAGCCTTCATTTCCCTTCCCTTCAGATTTCATTGAATGTCAAACTATAAAATGAGTAAAATTAAGAAGAGTACATGCAGGAATAATTCAACAAAAGTGCTAAATACAAGGCAGCAGATCGTCTTTGCCTTCATTAGAGTATAAAAAGAAAAGCAGGAAGAAGTGGTAAATTGTTTTCTTAGTGAATACCTTAAGTTATGAATTAATAACTGCAGCAACATCAAGCAGTTAACATTTGTTGAACTATGGCACTCAGCACAGTGTGTCAAGTACTATGCCCTTTACCGTTCTAATTCAGTTCATCTTTGGGACCCTATGGGGTATCTACTATTATCATCACTCTTTTAAAGATGAAGAATCTAAGTCTCAAAAAAAGTAACTAGCCCACGGTTACATATAGCAGGCATTCCAGGAAGTCTAACTCTAGACCATATGCTTTCAACCATTATGCTATATTGCCTCCACAAGGCAGACAAGACAAAAAGCAAAAAACAAAAACAAAAAACACCACTGGGTGAAGAACAAAATGGACAAAGAGGGGAGTGAACATTTATAAAAATGAATAAGCAAAAGTGATAGTCTAAAAGGCAATTAAGGCTGATTTCACAATTTGATACAAATATTTCAAATGATGAATATGTCAACCTTTCTACCACAATTTTTACATGTAAACCTTGACCAAAAAGAGTTCTACTGATCAGATTTTATTAGCTAGCATTTTCCTGATGTGAGACAGATGATTTTATTTATATCAATAACTTTCTATAATATTAGAAATATCCACTGTCCCTTTTTCTAATCCTTTATTAAATCATTTTTCCAAAATCTACCAGTAACTTTCATATAAAGGACACATTTAATTCCTTTTTTTACAAATAATTGGGGATTAGTCTCCTCTTAGGCAGCAAAACATCCTTTAACTGTAATTCATATCATAGTAAGTTCCTTTAACACTGTGCCCTGAATACACTGGTCATATTTCATGAGGGCTCTGGTTAAGTACTAGAAAGGATTAGACTGAGTCTACCCAAATAATATCTGTAATGAACTAATATATCCAATAAGATAAGAGGAATCAAAGTATGAGCAACACGTAGCACAGCTGCACAGAATAGAGCAAATTATTCTAACCAAGGGAAGCAGTAACAGGAAAAGTGTAGCTTGTGTTGGTTCTTAAACTTTACTGTATTTCAGTTGGATGCCAAAAACTGACCATACTACTATACATGATCTGACCAATATAACAACAAATAGGAATTATAGCTTTTTTTTAAGTTGAAGATCTAATTGGCTTTATTCTACAATTCATGAATCAGGCAGCATCCCATCTTGTAAATAGTGGGTTGGCCAAAAAGTTTGTTTGTTTGTTTTCCCCAAGATGGCTCTAGAAATGCTTAGTTGTCTTTAATTTCATTCTAAACTATTTTGTTACACTGTATTGTGACAGCTGTCGTATCAGTATGCATTTAAAAAATAAGCTTATCAAAACTGGTGAATTTTTGTGTAGCCATTTTAATATTGAAATTGGAAGAAAATACACAACATTTTTGGCATATTATGCTTTATTATTTTGAGAAAGGTAACAATGCAACTGAAACTCAAAACAAGACTTGTAAAGTGTATGGAGAGAGTGCTCTGACTGATCAAATGTGTCAAAAGTGGTTTGCAAAGTTTTGTGCTAGAGATTTCTTGCTGGATGATGCTCCATGGTTGGGTAGACCAGCTGAATTGAACAGAGATCAAATCAAGACATTGGTTGAGAACAATCAATATTATACAACACACGAGACAGTCAACATACTCAAAATATCCAAATCAATAAAGTTACTGGTGAAAATGAGAAATGTGTCTTTTATTTCACAGAGAAAACCATACATATAAACTTTTTGGGCAACCCCATTGAAAGGCGCTCTAAACTACCACTCTTTAACCTGTTTTAGACACTTAACCCATTCTATTCAAGCACTCTTAAACCAAATTAGGTTTTTGGCAAATATCTCACAGTTGTTTCAACAAATTTTTAACATGTTGCAACTAAGCTATATTTCTACTTTTCAGTACCTATCTTTTAAGACTCAAGGGCAAAACATTAGTATATCAACAATTCCAAGCTTCATACATTTGCAAATTTGATAGCCATGCCCTCCATGTCTTTCTGCACATCGCTGAGAAACGCAGTTAATAAGATAGAAATGTGAGTGTTATATATTAATTAGAAGTTAAGCCCTTAACTGTATTAAAAGGTTTTCAAAAGACTTCTTCACAAATTAAGTATTACATTTGCATCCTTTTAAAGGTTGCAAGTCTCCCCATGCACAGTCTCACACTCACCATAAGCTCCGGAGAAGGGACAGCAGCTTGAAAGGCACCAGAGACATACTGGGGAGAAACTAAATTATGTGGTTTCAGGGTGAGGGCCTGGCGGCACAGCTGATTTTATTTCTGTGTTGTGCCCTGCCCTGACTTGGCCTGCAGACACAGGCGCTGCAGACTTTCTTAAACACTCTCAAGGTCCACAGACCCGAAGGAGGCTACAACTGGCCTCAATGTGTGTGTGCCTCTTGCTGAAAGACCCAGACCCAGCACAGACGCCAAATCTGAATATTCATTAACCTGGGAACACCACTCACCCCAAGCTGGTGTTTCCCGGAGACATACCTCACCCAGAGCTCTTTCACAGGCAGTTCCTCACAGGCAGCAGGCCTCACTTGTGCAGCAGACCATTCCAAAAACTCTCAAAGGTCTGAAGGGTCTGGAAAGGTGCCTCACAGCCACATCATGCCCTGCACCTCCTGCTGAGTGGCCCCAGGCCCAGTTGTAGTTTTGGCCTTCCTCGGTTTGCCCTGTTGCCTCTCCCACATGCCTCAGGGCACAGCACAGGCAGCTACCAGCTATGGATCACTTTGTAGCTCCTACCAGGTGGCCCAGGGCCAAGCATAGGCAGTGGCTGACCTCGGCCTGTACAGAAGCCCCATCCAAAAGGCCCCAAGACCAATATACCAGGTGGCTGCCTTCAGAACACAACAGAACACCACCCAATTATCTCCACGAACAACATACCCCAAGGGGTGTTTCAGCAGGCACCAGAGCCTCGCTGGAGCAAATCCTACTCCATGGGGTCAGCCCCTGCACCTCAGCTGGTACACAGCTGTGGTCATAGCCAATCCTTCCAGCCAGCCAGCCTGAGGATCAACCCCACCTACTGACTTGCCAACAGCATTCAAGGTTCAACCACAACAGAGGGGCACACACAACCCACACAAGGGACACTTGGAGCAGCAGGTTGAGCCACTGGGTTCCACAAGATACCTATTACATAAGGTCACCTGCCAAGACTTGGAGAAGTTTAAGATTTACCTAATACAGTGAAACAAACACCAAGAAGCAGCCAAAATGAGGAGACAAAGAAACAAGCCCCAAATGAAAGAACAGGAAAAATTATAATATATATTCTCCAGTAAATGAAACAAAACCAAGGAGAGGCAGGCAATCAACCAGAATGGATTTTAAAAACTGCTTATAAAGATGTTCAATGAACTAGGGGAGGAACACACATGTATTTTGCCACATATAATGCATGCCCATGGAATTTTCATGTCCATTACTATACCCATGGTGTGTAACAATATACCCATATATAATGCACATCCTTATTTTCCCTCAAAAATTTGGGCAAAAAGGTGTATGTTATACATGGCAAAATACAGTAGATAAAAAGTCACTATAGATTTGTACTTTTTTTATCCTCACCCAAGGACATTTTTTTCATTGCTTTTGGAGAGAAAAAGGAGAGAGAAAAACATCCACGCAAGAGAAAAGCATCCATTGTTTGCCTCCTGTATGTGCCCAAACAGACTGGGGATATATGCGTCCAACAGGGGTTGCACATGCAGCCAGCCTGGGAGTTGCAGGCACCTGCACCTGGACCAGGGAATCAAACTGCAACCTTTTAGTTCCAGGACAACACTCCAACCAAGTAAGCAAGCCATGCAAGCCAGGGCAGTCTGAACATTTCTGACACTGACATCAGCTTCCTTCATAGCTTATTTCACTAAAGTATATGGCTAGTAACTATAGTCTACACTCAGTCAGCCAGAAGAATCTGGGTGTTAGATTTGGGGAAACAGACTGGCAAAGGACAACTGTGAACTTTATGAGTTTATAAACTTATGAATTAAAAGCAGTACATATTCAGAAAAAAAGAATCTGTAGGTCTGTAATATTACTTAATACCCCAATAATATTCAACTCTAAAGAGAAGAGTGGGATTGATATGTGCAGGTAAACAAAGGAGTGAAGGTTTTTCCTTTTTCCTCTGTATACTTCTCTTCTGTTTAAATAACTTTACAATGAGAAATAGTCATACAAAGCTGGGAATTTCAAAACAATCATTAAAACCATGCTTGCTTCAGCAGCACATGTACTAAAAATAATATAAAATCTTTAAAAAAATTAAAAACTAATATGACTCTCCCAAAGGTGCCTGTTGACCTGAGAATAGTTTTACAGTACTTAAGAAATTTTTTAAAATTTAGAACAAGCTGAAATCATTCTGTGGAGTATATATATACAATTTTATGTATACTAAATTATGTAACATAAAAACTTCATATTACCTTGGGATAGGTAATATGAGTAATACTTTCTAACCATGAATCTAGATGCAGAAAGAAAAAATAGAATTTTTAAACTACAAAAACAAAGATGGTCAATTGCATTAGATATTTTTTTATCAATTAACAAAAATTGGGTAATATCTAGTACTGGAAAGGGCATGGGAAAAAGAACAGCTTCAAACACTAAATTTGGAAGGGCCACTTGGAATCCCCCAAAATTTTAAACATGTGTTCCATAAACAAAGATCTACATTTGGAAAAGTATCTTATGCAAATAAATAGACAAATACACAAGAATAAAGCCATTCATCATAGCACTGTTTATAACAGCAAAAACTGGACAATCTAAATATCCACTATGAAAAATTTTAAAAATCAATTTTTAAAAATCTATAGTGTTTTATGATAATGCAAAAACACACTGCTCTGGCTGGTGTGGCTCAGTGGATTGAACACCAGACAGTGAACTGGCAAATGCCTACGTTGCGGGCCAAGTCTCGATTGGCAGACTGTGAGGGGCAACTGATGGATGGTTCTCTCCCTTTCTCCCTTACTTCCCCTCTCTTTAAAGCATAATAAATAAAATCTGTAAAAAAAAAACCCCAAAACAAAAACACAGCCATTAAAAATAAAAACATGAAAAGATTTTCTAGATACACCATTAAGTGAAAAAGGAAGTGAAAAACCTGTTAGTGTTAAATATAGGTTCATTATCTACATAAACAAGTATTCGACACATAAATATACACACACATATCTACAAACATACACATGGCACACAGCCTAGAAAACAGTTCTAAAATACTACACACCAAAATACTAACAGTGGCTAGTTCAGAGTAATACAATCATAGGTGATTTTCACCTTCTTCTTCATAACTTTTGAAAAGTCTAAACCCTGTACAAGTTTTATAATAAGAAATAGTAACAAATATTTTCATCCTTTAAACAAATAAAGAGGAATCAAATTACCTTACTAAATACCTTATGTTTTTATCATATATTACAATTTTCTTACCTTTAAACCTTCAGCTGGAAGTCTATAACCAAATCTTGCTGGAAGGTCATCAAATGTCTGAGACACATTTTCAAAATTATACTAAATATAAAATTAAAAACAATCAAGTTACAACCAATTTACACATGGCATTAAAAACAAAAAGTTTATTAAATTATTTGAGTTTTCATTTCCACAATTCTGATTATCTCCATTTATCACAGGAAAAATAACTTTGTAAATGCATATCAAAATATCAAGAAATATATACAATGTACTACATATACAGCTGCTTAAATTAGATTGTATTTTATATAATAATTATACAACAGCAACAATTCTATGACATTAAAACCACCTTCTGAGTTTTTCCTACAGACAATACCCAGCAAGAAATTTTCTAGACAGATGATTTCCCAGCAAGAATTCCCTTTTATTTTCTCTATACTGTAAAGTTCTGAATAAGAGATTTACAGGATTTCTGGTTGTAGCTATGAAAAATGCTTTTTCCCCCAGAGAAAGAAGGAGCATCGAGTCGTACCTCTAAAGTATTATCATTTTTTATATAATATGGACATTTTTATCTAGGGCTAAACAATGAAAGAACTAAACTCAATGAAGTACATACATAGAGAGAGCTGAAAGTATTGCAACTTTCCCCTTTGTTATGGATTTAGATTCCTATGTTAAAATATTTATCAGTCCTCTACAAAAACAGAACAAAACAAAACTAAATAAGGGTTTCTGTGCTTTTGGAAGATAACAGTAAATTATAACTGTGAAGTGAGATTGATGTATTAAGAATGTTCAATCTGTTATATCTCTAATGAGAGAAACAAGAAATATAGATGAAACTAAGTAAAGATAGTAAGTAAGTAACTTTTGAAACACAGACAAAACTTATATAGTACATTAGAAGTTAAGATAGTTTCCATGAAGGCAAAAAACAGAAAAACTAGAACACATTTGTTTTGAATAAAGATAAAAAGGATGGAACAAAGCAAGAGTATTAGAGAGCAAAGGACGGAAGGATGAAGTAAACCTTAAATATTCGCAAAGCATGAATTAGGCTGCACATACGAATTGATGGCTACATCATCCCTAAATCAAACACCTACTGGCAATCACCATTCGAGCCTCCTGTGTCATCTGCAAGCAACATGCAGATAAATAGCTCTTCAGGTTAACAGCAAGTTACAGTGGTGGTCATTTGTAAATGCCTCTTATCTCTCCAACAGAGCAAACAAAGGTTGGATCCAGATACCAACCATCTGTCAGGTCCCCATGCTAACTAACCCTCAACTCAGATCCTGGTAACCACAGTCACCAGGAAAAGCTGAAGCAGCATAAAGGGATTGGACAAATTGAAACAATAACACAGGATTCACATAGTGTGGTTCTTGCATTCCATTCATACCCTATCCTATAAGTGTCCAGTATATTCATCTGTTACCTATACTTCTCACTGTATGTTTGTAACTAACTCAATAAACTGATTTAAGTGTCTGGATTTGGTCACTGAGCCTAGCCATTGTGCTACCTCTGGAATAATCAGCTTGGCATTATACTTGGAGGCCAGCAGTGCTTCTGAGTAATTTCCTGCTGTTACACTAATTCACATTTGCAGAGTGCTCTATGATTACTAAGTGCTTTAGAGTCACACAGTGCTATTGTATCATCACCATTTAATCTCTTAAGTAAAAGACCTGTCTTTAATTGATTTCATTCAATTTTGATCAGCTTTGTGTTGAACTTGAGAAAGTCATTTAACTCTTCCAAAGAAAAAAACACTACTATAAAATAAAGAAATTGATCTAGGTAAACATAGATAGGTCAAAGAAAAATACACATGTGTACAGGCAATACTTTTCCAAAAAGATACTTTTAAAATCAGGAATGGAAAATATACAACTGTGCTAACATATTCTTATATCATTTCCTATCACTGAAGGGTTTCACTTTTTTGACCAGAAGTTCAGATGTAAAATATCTAGCTTAAACCTAGTACTTGTGACACTAGGCCTTGGAATCAGTTTTGTTATTGAGTGAGATACATTGTGAAACTGCTTTTTCTTTCCTTACTAGCAAAATAAAGACTATCTCACACTGCTTCTCACAATCATGTTGTTTAAAATCAACAACAAAAATGTTCTTAGCATGAACAAGAGAAATGGAAACATCTTTATTACAAAAGTACTTTACATTTTTAGTATTAGAGGGGAGGCTGCTGCTCCTGAAATTAAAGCACGCTCACTATTAAATTTTTGAAGATCTTTCTTATTTATTTACTTATTTGTTTTTAGAGAGAGGGGGAGAGAGGGGAAGGGAGGGAAAAAGAAAGGAAGAAAAACATCGATGTGTGAAGAAACATCAATCTGTCTGCCTCCCATACACCCCCCAAATGGGACCCAGCCTGCAACCCAGGCACGTGCCCTGACTGGGCAAACTGGTGACCCTTTGGTCTGCAGGGCGACACCCAACCCACTGACCCACACCATCATGGGATTATTCAAATTTTTGAAGTATAAAATAAAGTCATCCTCTCGGGAATTCCAGCCGCGGTGATTAATAAAAATAACAGCTTTAGTTTTTGAAAAGGTCTTTTCCTTAACCAATTCTCCTCTTTGACATCAGCCTTAACAAAAGGTATAATTTAATTTAGAAAGTAGCAATTATTAAACATTTATGACATCATGCTAAATACTTAACAGGTATTTACTTATTTAATCCTTACAACAACCCTATAAAGTCAGGCATTATTATAGTCATACTCATTTTAGAGAGACCACCGATATTGAAAATAACTTGCTCTAATAAATTAGAGGACCAGGATTCTGATCCAGGCAGTCTGGCCCCAGAACCCTGGCTCTTAACCCACTACCCTACACTGTCTATCATACAGTCTCATTTTCCTAATAAGTAAAGTGTGACTTAAGAGAGTTAAATTCAACTCAGAGACTAACTCAACTGATAGAACTCTTAACTACCATACTATGTAATCTAATCCACTCACACCACTGGGTCCTTCTCTTCTCCACTGCCTACTGACCCTCACAAGCAATGAATTCTCTGACAAATCCCTACAACAGAATCAAAAGGCATATTGTGAGTAAACCGACTTGGGTTGCTTTGCTCTCTACTCTCTGAAGCTGTATAAGATGGATCCTACTTCTCAATAAGACCATGGCACTACTCAGAGCTAACAAGTCCCTTGTAGCTCATGGGCCTCAGAATACTCAACAGTGATCTGCTTATCTCTAAAGTGTGATGCCTCTGCAAGGTCTAAAGCTCCATGTTTCTAGACATAGACCTGCATAATCACTAATTTCACATTTCCTTTTGGATCAAAGGAAGAGAAACGAGGTAGGAGATGAAAACAGAAAAAATTGCTAACAGAAATGACAACAATCTAAAGTACCAAGGAATGAATGCTATTAAGAAAAACATTGAAGAACTGAAGTGGGGCTTAGTGGATTGAATGCCAGCTTGCAAACCAAAGGGGTGCAGGTTAGATTCCTAGTCAGGGCACATGCCTGAATTGCAGACCAGACTCCCCAGTAGGGGGAGCATGAGAGCCAATGACACATTGATGTTTCTCTCATCGGCATGAGAGCCAATGACATATTGATGTTTCTCTCCTTTTACCCAGTTGACTGGCCTGGGTAAATCCCTCCCTTCCCCTCTGTTTAAAAATAAATAAATAAAATCTGAAAGAAAAGCAAAAAACAAAAGAAAGGACTAAATCTCTATTTACCAATCCAAACATTTACTGACTTCCCACTTGTGTAACTTGCACTGGGTATCAGACCAAAACATGTTTAGTAAGACACAGTCCTGCCTTCCAGGTTCTCATTTTCTAGGAAGCTTACTGGCTAGTTAGCCACTCACTATACTGGCATCTCGAATAGTCTCTTAGAACTCACCAACTAGTTGGACAAGTACTGTTGTCAGGCAATTAACAGTCAAATGGGAGAATTCAACTGCCAAAAATAAAATCATCTGGCATACAAATGCATGACTAAAACTGACTTTACCATTTTAAATGCAGAATCCTAATACCTGTCCAAAATGGAGCAAAGAATCAATCTTTACCAACTTACTTAAATCTGTATTGCTGCGAGCTCAAACGTGAGGAATGTTCTTATTTAAGCAACTCCTATGCAGATGATTCCTTCACTAGATAACATCGACATACATTCCAAACTTACCTACCTGAAGTACGAAACCCTGACGGCAAGAACTGACTGTTCCGCCATACCTAATAGTTCATTTTGTCTATATGAGACAGGCTAGTGAGCCACACGAGTGGAAAAGGGAAACTGAGACAAGTAGTTAAACAAGCAGTCTGCAGCCACTTAGTTAGTAATTCCTACCTTCCCTAAACCAAGGATACTTAAGAGTAAATGGTTTGGACTTCTGGTCAAGATGGTGGCATAAGCAGACATGGCTCACCTCCTAAAACAACCACAACAAAATTACAACTAAGATATAGAACAACCATCACTCAGAACTGATAAAAATAGAGTTGAATGAAAATCTGACAACTACAGAATTAAAGAAACCACATCCATCCAGACTGGTAGGAGGGGCGAAGACATGGAACCGGCTGGTCCCACATCCACAGGTAGTGGATAAAAATTAGGGAGGGATACCTCAGGAGCAAGGAGTCCCACACTCACACCAGTTCCCCCTGCCCAGAGTCCAGTACCAGAAGGATGAAGTCCCCACAACTTCTGGCCACAAAAAGCAGTGGGGATTGAGTCAGTGGAAGAAACTCCTGGAGCCCCAAGCAGTTCCTCATAAAGAACCCACACATGGATTTACCTACTCAGAGTTACTCTCTCTGGGCTCCTGAGCCAGGGTGGCAACTGAGGGGCACAAGTGGTATGCAGGGGAGGCTGAGGTGTCTGGCATCAAGGTGAGCAGAAGCCACTCTCCCTTCTCAGGGGGGCCCTCCCCCTACACAGCTGGCAGACTGGTGCCAATCTAAGATTCCATAAACTTGGTGAACAGTGTTTGATCTGCTTTGGAGATTTTTAGAAACTGCCCCACCCAAATTACAGACACCCAAGCTACTTTTCCATATGAAAGGTTGGTCATGCTTTGCAACTTCCTAAATCCTCTTAAACAAGCAACAGCCAGCCTTAGTGAGCCCTACACCCAGAACTAGCAGCCTAGATTCACAGTATGACTTCACCTGGGAAATCTCCAAGTCCAGCACAAGTAGCAGCCATCTCAGATTGCTTTACAGCTAAGGCAGGGTGGCCTCCAGGCAAAACACAGGCCTGCACCACCCAGGAAACCCCAGGGACAGCACACCCAGTGGACAGCTACAGACCACATAAGAGCATCACCACCCTACCTATCCCTGCACAGCTGATCCTTCATGGATGGTTAGGTTGGTGGTAAGTGGTCACAGCCAATCCTTGCAGTTGACTGGCCTGGGTAAATCCCTCCCATTGACCAGCCAATAGCAACCAGGGCTCAGCTGCAAGAGGAGGATGTATTCAGCCCACACCTTGAGTACCCTGCTTGGGTGATAGGAGAGACTCTACCCCAGGACACCTACTATATTAGGCCACTCTACCAAGACAGGGAATCAAAGCAGCTCTACCTAATACACAGAAACAAACACAGGGAGGCTGTCAAAATGAGCAAAGAAACATGGCCCAAATGAAAGAACAGATCAAAACTCCAGAAAAAGAGGTAAATGAAATGGAAATAAGCAGTCTATCAAATGTAGAGGTCAAAACACTGGTCATAAGGATGCTCAAGGAACTCAATGAGGACCTCAACAGCATAAAAAACATCCAATCAGAAACAAAGGATACCCTAATTAAAATAAAGAAGAATTTACAGGGAAACAACAGTAGAGTGGGTGAAGCCAAGAACCAAATGAATGATTTGGAACACAAGGAACCAAAAAGCAACCAACCAGAAAAACAACAAAAAAAGAATTGAAAAAATGAGGACAGCATAAGCAGCATCTGAGAAAACTTCAAGAAGTCCAACATTTGCCTCATAGGGGTACCAGAAGGAGAAGAGAATAATCAAGAAATTGGAAATCTATCTGAAAAAATAACAAAAGAAAACTTTCCTAGTTTGATGAAGGAAATAGACATATATGTACAGGAAGCACAGAAGGTCCCAAACAAGATGTATGCAAAAAGGCCCACTCCAAGATACACCATAATTAAAATCCCAAAGGTTAGAGATAAGAGAGAATCTTAAAAGCAGCAAGAGAATAGTAGTTAGTTACATCAGGGAAGTTCCCATAAGACCGTCAGCTGATTTCTCAAAAGAAACTTTGCAGGCTAGAAGAGACTGGTAAGAAATATCGAAGTCATGAAAAGCAGGGACCCAAGGCCAAGATTGCTCTGCCCAGCAAAGCTATCATCTAGAAGTGAAAGGCAGATAAAGAGTTTCCCAGACAAGAAAAAGTTAAAGGAATTCACTGCCACCAAACCATTATTATCCAATTTTTAAATCTTACATTATCAAAGTCATTACAGATACACTAATTATCAAGAAAAACAGTAAGATTCTAAAGAAATACACAGCTCATAGATATATATGTGCATGAGCACTCTTGGGAAGGCACACACACTCTCAAGAGCAACATTTATCATGTACTTATTGAACAGCAGATCTTACATTAGCTATTAAAAGATGAGTACCGTCCTCCCACTTCAAGTAACAACTATGTATATTTTTGCCTGTATGTCTATAGGTAATAAGATTCCATCATTTAGGACTTTTTTAAAGCTTTTTTTAAGGGATGCTTTTAGACAAAAATAAATGGTATTGTACTTACTGCTAAAATGTCTGCTTCTACAGGCAGTAGGTTTAAGAATGCAAAGAGCTGCACTGTCAGGATGGTGTAGACTTGTGTAGCCGACAGCATGAGCATCCCTATGGAGAGCAGCATCTTGCTGGAAAATCACCTGAAATATAAGCAGGTTAGCAACAATGAGCTCTGGTGCTTTGTCCTTGAAGGTAAGTGACATGCTATAGTAATTCCTGATGTCCAAAAATATCTCTTTTAATTATAAATATGTGATAATTAAAATTAAACATATTTCAAAAGCATTAGAATTTACGCACATTTGAACATTTAGGTAAGCACCCAAGGTTAGTCAATACTTACACAATTCGTGGTGACTAAGTACTGTGCTTTAACCACAAATCAAACATATTCCCACAGCCCTTGGTTTACAGTATGGCTTATCTCCTCATTCAATGATGGGGAAACTGGATTTCAATCAAAATAATGATTTAAAAATCAGAAGCACCTTTGCTTTAAATTTTCTACAATTTTAAAGAATTTTATAATTCTTTAAATCATATGTAAATTCACTTTTTATTTATTGTAGCATATTGTACTTATAATAGAGAATGTAAAAAAACAGACACTTTTAGAATAATACTTTTTGCCCTTTCTCTCCTAATATACATATTTTTCCCTCCCTACATCCTAATGGCAATAGTGTGGCTACCTTTCCCAACCTCATCCAATTCTCTATATAAGTCCCTATCTATTGTACAGCAAAAAGATACCATGAAAGGATTAAACATGAACCTAGTCAAGTTCCAAATTCTCATCAATAAGCCTCAACCAACTGTAGAGCATACCTAAAGGTGAGAACAAAGTTTGCCTTTATAAAGAATTAGTTCATTAAATGCCAGCAATTCATATTACACCAATTTTGATATGATTACTGTTGTTAAGGCTCTGGGTTTGGAGACTACATACAGACTCAAACTTTGACTCTTTGACAAAAACTGAAATATCTCAATAATTTTTGAACTACCGCCTTACAACCCATTAATCTAAGATGAAATAAAGGTGAAAACACATTAGAGATTTGTTCCAAAGAGAAAGAAAGTACATTAGCAGTTGCCTGTGGCTAGGGTTAAGAATTAAGGGAGGGGGAGGGACAGATACAACCAGGAATGACTGCTCATAAATTAGGTTTCTTTTCAGGGTGATAAAAATGTCCCAGGCCCTGCCTGGGTAGCTCAGTTGCTTAGAGCATTGTCCAAAAACACCAAGGTTGCAGGTTTTTTCCCCAGTCAGGGCACAAGCCTGCACTGTGGGTTCAGTCCCTGATCAGAACATGTGGGAGAGGCAACTGATAGATGCTTTTTGTTCACAGCAATGTTTCTCTCTCTGAGCCCTCCCCGCCCTTCTCCTCTCTAAGTATGTCCTGAGATGAGGATTGAAAAAAAATTATTTGATAAAAAATGTCCTAAAATCAGATTGTGGTTATGGTTGCACAAATGTATCAATATACTAAAAATCACTGCACTGTTTACTTTAAATGGGTAAATTTTATGTTGAATGAATTATATCTCAAGCTGTTTTTTTTTAATGTATAGATTTGTTGATACTACTCTTAGGTAAAATACATTTGATAATATACCTCTGTGCAGAAAAAAGTTAACATAGCAGGCCTGAGACTTTTATCCTTAGAAAGGCCTCCTTGTAAGCAAGATCGGCCCTTCACTGGTACCTGGGAACCTAAACTTCAGACGGTTCCATCGTGCCCAAACTCTGCAGACAATCTGGATTATGTTGAGCATGTACTTTATTTCCAGGAGTCTGACACTTTGGTACATACTAGGATACATGAGCAGCACCCAGTGTAAACATACACACCGTACCTAGCAGCTTTTCTGGTAGACATTTCCATGTGTTGTCATAACTTATTGCCGAGGAATTAAGCATACTCTGTGTGACTCCACTGGAAGAGGACTATTAAAAGTCTACACCTGGTTTCCTCTGGACTTTACCCCATGCTCCTTTTCTCTTTGCTGATTTTGCAATAAATCATACTCATGAGTACAACCATACCCTGAGTCCTGTAAATTCTCCTAGTGCAGGGGTGTCAAACTCATTTTCACCGGGGGCCACATCAGCTTCACAGCTGCCTTCGAAGGGCTGAATGTGATTTTTAGGACTGTATAAATGTAACTTCTCTTTAACAGTTAAGCAAGAGCTCAGTGCTGCCGCCAGGTAGAAACAAGGTGCCGGGCTGGATTAAAATAAGGTGGAGGGCCAGATTCAGCCCGTGGGACCTTGTATTTGCCACCTGTGTCCTAGTGAATCACTTACACTGAGATGGTCTTGGGGACCCCCATAACAACCACATTAGATAATTTCTGGTCAAAAAATCACATGATTAAAACATACAAATCCTTACTAAATAAGGCATAGTTGCTACTAAAGTTCGCTAAGAAGAAAAAAATGTTCAGTATGTTGACCACTGATCTGTTTGACAAACTTAATCTGAATAAGAACTATATATGACTTCCCTTGATGTTCTGCAACTGCCAGCCAAATTTGCAGGGTGAAAAGGGAGAGTTTACAGGGAAAATAACTCTACGAACATGAATAATAACCACAACTGTTACTGATCACTTGTAATAATAACCACAACTGTTATCGATAACTTGTACTTAGAGCAACAGGCATTGCTCTAAGCATGTAACTAAGTTAATCACACCCAATCCTAACAACTCCCTATAAGGTAGGTATCATTTCCTAGATGGGAAAACACACTGATAAGTAACTTGCCCAAGGTCAAACAAAGAATAACAGCAGAATCAAGATTCAAAGCCAGGCAGTGTGCTTCCAAAGTCCACACTCTTAGGTAAAAGTCAGGAATTCTATCCAAGACATAGAGACTTCAGAAGCATCAACAAATAAGTGATAATCTTAATATAAAGATAAAAATTAAAAAGAGAAGAGGCTATAGAAAACTCTGAAGAATATCTGAATTTAAGGGTTGGGAGAGAAAAGAGATTGATTTCACAAAAGTAAAGAAAGAAAAAACTTTGAGATAAATATAAAGGGAGGAAAGGCATTCAACAGAAGTAAATGTTGGAAAAAAGGCAAAAGGTAAAAAAATGTTCACATTTCAGACCTAAACAATTTTATTTCCCTGTAGCCTAACCGTACCCTTGTTCTGATCAATTCCGTTTCCAAGAATGTACCTGCCATGGCCAGCGGTTATCTTCATGTGTTATCCAGTAACTAAAGTACACTTTCTTCTACCTTCAAAGGAATATTTAAGAGAAAACTAAGAATCTTATGCAACTGTTTGCAAAATTTTATGTATGTATAAAATATATGCAGTTTCCGTGAAAGAGATCCATGGTTTTTAACACACTCTCAAAAAGGGGACAAAAGGGTGTTTTTGTTGTTAAATCTTCCCTTCTCAAAGGAGTCTTAAAATAAATCCTTTGATACTAGCTCCTAGCACTTAGACCACTGGGTAAAAAGTAAATGTAGACTGTCCACTGTAATACTAGGCAACATTATTCATTATAACAATGACTTACCAATTGGTAAAAAGCATTAAACTGGAAAGAGTGTATATTAACTAATAAAAGCTTGTTAGAGAAACCAGAATAACCTGTTTCCCTGTGGTCTGTGTTTCTTAAAACCAAAAATGACCCTTGAGGTCACCTGAATGAGGAAGTTATTCATGAACAGCTACAAATGGCTCTGTTCATATATGACTTACCTACACTGATGTGATACACATCCACACATTTGACCTTGTCTGTTACAGTCCAGTATACTCTCTGTTAAGTATAAAAGCTTCACCTGAATGAATGTAAGCTTCTCAGTGTAGGTTGATATGTTGTATCAGTTTTTATGTTCCTACAAAGCTCGTGCCCCTGGTGCCAGACCATGACCAATCAGTTACTGAGAATCTGAATGTCAACCAGAACCCCTAACACGGCTGGTCATGTAGAGGGTGTTGTACCTTTCTTCCCCAAGACAATTCTCATGAGCCTCTCATCCTTGAATTTATTAAACTGTTACGGCCTCTTTAATAGAATAGAAATATTGCTTGTTGTAACTCTCCTAAGTTCCTAATAGGATATACTCATCTTGACATTTCTTTAGAACAATGTTTAGAAAGGGAGAACACAGAGGAACACCTAATAAAATCTTGCTAAATACAAATATCTACCTTTCCCCTTCCTCTCTCCCTTTTCTTTTCTTTCCCTCCCTTTCTCTTTGCTCTTTTTCTCCACACACCCTCAATAATTACCAAAGATAGATCATGACTCTATCTTCATTCTGAGTATGCCTAAAATCAGAAGGTTAAACTTCTTCAAAGGAAGTATACAGCAGAGAAAATGCAAGAGATCCTTGTCTACAGAATGGATTTCTAGAAATGTCTCCATCACCATCTCTGATCATATCTAGAGATATGATCTACTATTTAACTGATTGCTAATTACTAACAGAGATTCATCTGAAATTAGCTTCCTGACTCCATCAACTGGCAAATTCTCATTCTACTTGCTGTTCAGTCTGTATCATCTAAAATGTATTCTTGCCAAAATTATTTAAACTTGATTCTAACAAGCCTTTTTAGCTCTAACTTCAAGTTTATAGGAAATACATGGAATAAGAAAAACAAGGTGGGTGTGTAACTTGAGGACACCACATCAATTTCTAGAAAATTAAATGTAATAAACAAAACAGTACAGGGGGATGGAAAGGGAAAAGAGCATGAAACTGTTAAAGAGATAAGAAACAATAAATCCAAATGTGAACCATAAAGTTGAAGCAAATCAACAATAAAACAACAGTTTAGGAACAAGGGGGACAATGTGAACACAGCCTAGACATTAGATATACTTTAAAAAATTATTATTAATTTTCTTAGGTATCGTTGTAACCAGAGAACCTCCTCAAACTGGCATTACTCTGGTTCTAACAACCTACTGAGTTGTTTTTCAGGAACAACAGAACAAAACCATTAAGTCGTGCAGTACACGCATGCACCAAGGAAAGAATTTTGACCTTCAGTAACAACCAGAACCACCACCAACAACCAAAGAGCTGGAACCTGACTGGAACTTTACCATCGGAATTCTTTCAGAAGGTAAGGACTGTTCTCCTGAACATCTGGTGCCCGCA